AGAAGTCAGAGGTGCATCGATCAGATCAACATCGCCCGACGATGGATATTTGACGGTCACGTTGATTTCACCATTTAGAGGCGCATCGATCAAATCAACATCGCACGACGGTGGATATTTGACGATCGTCATCGTTTTCAGAAGTCAGTTGCACCGATCAAATCAACACCGCCCGGTGGATATTTGACGGTCTTCTCGATTTCAGCAATCAGCGGTGCTTCCGATCAAACGGCACCGCAAGAGTTTCCACCGCGAAACATCAAATCAACATCGCCGGAAACGAGTTCGGCACCGGCGGTGGCATTTGATTTTTTCTTGGGAAACAGGACACTAGGGCCGACCCGACATTGCGTATTTCTCCTTCACCCGGAAAATTCTAACACAGACTGTCTCCGTTCCTCTCCCCTCCGGTCGCTGCAGGCATAACGAGTGGAAAATAATAATTAAAGAAATTGGGATTTTTTTATATTTTATTAATAATTTGGTGGAAAAAAATTAATTATATTTTAATATTTTTTGAATTGCCACGTCATTCACTTAACGGTCAACAGTGAGAGTTGACCGTCACATAAGCAAAAGTTAACGGAGACTAACAGCCAGTGACCAAACTTGAACTGTTAACCTAATTTAAGTGACTACATATGTAATAAATTAATTTTAGTGACAAACGTGAATTTTTTAAGTAATTCTAGTGACCAAACTTGCAATTTAGCCGCAAGTTAAGTATGATGAGTTGAGGTAAATGGAAGAAAGTTTTTTTTTGTGGCAAAAGTCAAGAGTGGATTGGTTAGCGAAGGGTGATAAAGGGACTGGCTTCTTCCATCAATCTGTGAAAATTCGGAATTCAAAGAAGGCTATTTGGAGATTGGTGAATGATGCAGGAGAGGAACTTTGGGAGATTGATCGGATTTCAGAGTAGACAGTGACTTATTATCAGAAAATGTTTGGAGTGGTCAATGAAGAGGTTCAGATTAATGATCTGCTTTTGAGATCTTTAATAAATAATCAAGTTTCATAGGAGATTGCTGATTTACTATGTCTAGACATTAGTGCAGAAGATGTTAGGAAGGTGATCTTTGATCTTAATAGTAAAAAAATCCCTGGTCCTGATGGATTTTCTGGAGGCTCCTTCAAGCATACCTGGCATATTATTGGCAGCGATATCATAGCTGGGGTCATTGACTTCTTCTCTTCTGGCAGGATGATAGGTGGTATTAATGCTACTGCGGTCTCTTTAGTGCCAAAGGTTCCTAATGCAGAGAGGTTAAAGGACTTTAGACCCATTTCCTGTGTGAATATCTTGTACAAGTGTGTCTCGAAGTTACTTACAAATAGGTTAAAGCTGGATATGCCTCACGTTATTAGCTTGAATAAAAAAAACTTTTATCAGGAAGAGAAGGATTATGGACAATATAGGGGTCGTTTGGAGAATATGAGTTCAATTCTATAGATTGTCAACAATCTAAAGATTCTAACTCTTTGGATTGTTGAAAATAGATTTTAAAATGGTTATTGTTTGGTAACTGTGATTGTTAACATTCAATGAAAATAAAAATAAAAATTTTATATTAAATAACATGTTTATCCTTAATAAAAAATTAGAGTAGTTCGAGAAATATTAAAAACTTTGTTAGTAAATATATTGAATATGATAAATAAATAAAAGAAAGAGAAAAGGTAGGAGAAAAAAATCTCATGAATCAAGATATAGAATCTCTCTGATTATGAGAGATTTGATATCCATAGATTTTAGAGATTTGAAATCTCTATAGCTAAAATCCATAATACAAAAAGTAACAAAAAAATATAACTTTTTACAAAATCTACGGATTCAATGAATCCACGCCCTAAATCCCGTTCTCCAAACGACCCCATACTTCTTGCACAAGATTATAGGTTAAAGCTGGATATGCCTCATGTTATATTCATAATTTATGCTCACACCTGGTGCAAATGATCCATAGCTTTTGAATTTGTCTTGCTTTTGTAGTAATCAATTTATTTATTGACCGCATATATTTAAAATTTCCATTTTATTTTGGTTAAAACAGTACATTTATGAGCAGCTCCTGAAGAAAGACGATGTTGCCCATTGTTGTAATGATTTCAAATGTTAGATTTATACAAAGATTTTTATGACACGTTTGTGTTGTCATGACAATAGAGTATGTTCATCATTCGACTTAGGTCCAGTAGGTGGAAATTTATTTTCACTTCTCAGTAGTAGTAAGTGTTCTGCATCTTTTATTTATTATAAGGGTTTATGCTATGATTGCGACTGATTAAAGCGACTAAGCCAAATTGCTGCAAACTGCAACATACTACATTACAGTTCACTTCTCAAAGCAGCGAACCAGCTTCATCACTGTAGAGTTCGCTTCTTATAGTAGCGAATTCACTTCATTGTTGTATAGTTCGTTTGACGCAATAACATATAAGATCGGGGACGTACATAAAACAGAACTGTCATAAAGCGCGGAGCGCCGGCTCTCGAAGCCGATACAATTACCATACTTACCGGCTCTTACCATTTCTGCATCAATTGCTCGTAAATGCAACGTACCAAAATCCAGTTGCTAGTATGTCAAAGAACCCTGCCAAACTCTAGTAGTTTGGGTAAAAATCATTCTAGTTTTAAACTCTACAATTGAGGTTCTCCACAACTTGGTTCTAAGTCGTGAATGAGTGGAGAACTAAAAGGATCAATTCCCGTTCGCCCTTTAAATTAGTACGATAGCTAAAAGGAAAAAAAGCATCACAGAAACCAGAGTGTACAAGTCTTGGAATCGGCAAATGAAATCTGGAAAGCTGTTCATACTTCATACCATTAACAATGTTAAAACGAAACACGCCTCCAGGAAACCGGGATCAGTGGTTGCCACCTGGAATTTATGTTCGCATTAAGGAATGAGGATCAACTTCCACTTACACACTTCTTCAAATACTATTTTAGCATGATAATCTATCATTAGCCTTTTAAACCCTCTAGCTTACTAGCTTATCTTTTGGTCCATGGCACCACTAACAGATCCCTAACTGGCCTTAATGACTCTGCTACGATAGTGGCCAACCAACAGACAGAAATGCATCAATGCCTCTGCCACTATGATGAAGATATATAGAACAAGAGCTAGTTCACCCACACGACCAATCATTAAGTTGGACCAAACTTGTAGCAGTGAACTGAACGTGACTTACAAACAGTTGAAGTTTTTCTCAAAACCACAATCTGGGAAGCCATTCGAAATGCCTTTTTTTCCCACTTGAAGCTCTTCATAATAAGACACCACATTAAGTAGCCATCAGTATGATGGCATTGTACAGAGCGTGTACTGCAATGGAAGAACTCAACCTCCCTGTCCAACAGTAACAGCAACCCAGAACACACCCAACTATGAACAACTGCACAAAATTTTCACCAGAGAAGTGGGCAGCGCTGAACACGGCAGAACTAACTAGCACTGCTTGCTGCCAGTTTGTCCTGGAGGCGAGAGACCTCAACAGAAACCCTCTATAGACCGTTTCTTCCAGCAGGGGAGTGGTAATGCAGTATACAAAAGCACAAGCAGCTTTTGCTGCGTTGCTGCTCTGCATGATCTCATTCACTATGGGGCTGTTTGCTGCCTGAAAGACAAGTTAAACAGAAAAGAGTAAGAGAAAAAAAAAGCCAATATTGAACTACAGAAAGTTCAAAATATGGCGATCTCCAAACGAGAAGGCAAGGCGAAACCAACCCTGCCGCCACCTGATGATATGCTGGTGACTAATGATGTCAGGAGAATCATCAGGAGAAGAAACCCAAAGCCCAAAGCTGATGCCAACACCCAGTTTCTCTCTTTGTCTGTTTTCTTGACTTGGAAGAAATTAGTCAGCTTGTGTTCAGGCCTAGCGGCAGTACTAAGCAGAAGCAAAGCGCCTGCTAATTCTAGTGTTTGGACGACAAGTAGCGATATTACCTGCACAAAGAGGCAACAAAAATCAAGCAGATTATACCCTAACTAATGATCACATGGAAGGAAGGCATCTGTTGGTATCTATTCTTGATTCTAATTATTCAACTCGCATGTCATATAAGAACATTCAAAGTCATACCCTTGTCCAACCGAAATACCCAAATGCAAATTCGAGATCCCGAAACATAGAAGAAAGCAAACCAAGCTTACTTGAACCTCAGGATCAAGAGCAGGCTGCCGCAATACGTAGGCAACAATAGACGATCCCCCAATACCCAAAGGGATGTGCAGAGAAAACATGTACGTAGCAAAGATGCTCCATGTACTCCCTTCATTCCACGGTACCTCCGGCGAAAGAACTGAAAATCCCTGCTTACTTTGAGTCAATGAAAACAACCAGGGGAAAATCAAAATTCATAACCACTGCAAACATCAACTGTAGTAAACCTCGCTAGAAAAAACTAATTCCGGGCCTAAACCCCGTGAAATCAACTTATTAATTCATCAAGATTCTTCCAAATTGATCACAAGCAGTTAATAAATTACCTCAACTACGTCGGCGGCTACACTTTCGCCTTCTCGGCAACAACATTTGAAAGAGGAACGCCAACGACGACTGGATTGGAGGAAGTAGGGTGAAGAGCGAAATTCGGCAAGTGGAAGTTTCCTTTTTGCTGGGAATGGAAGAACAGCAACTGCCGGCGACAGAGCTGCCAGAATCATCCTCTCGTCGTGGATCGCCTTCCGCCGGCCACACTTGCCCCCTTTCACCGTCGTTCACGGCCAGTCAGTGGAGATAGGCCATTGATTTGATAATTTGCTCTCCTTAGTCAAGTGCAAAAGGAAAATTGAAATTCGCAGTTCCGAAACGTTTTCATTTGGAGGACTGACACTGAGTCCGGGCCTTGAAAAGCTCGGTAGAGGAAGAACGTTAAGCCCATTCTTTGAGTATTAGTAATGCTGGGCCGGGCCAGCCCACTGGACCAACTATTGCGATCTGTAGAAATTTGAGCGATATGGGGTATGCAAAATCTCTTTTCCGGGAAACAGAACGCGGCGCCGTCACTTCTTCGATCGGAAGCGCGCGCTGCTATCCCAGCCATGGCGAGTGCTGGTGGAGCCGTATTGGAGCTCCAGAAAAATTCAGGCAGTTGGGCCAAGGTTGTGGAAGAAGTGGTGAAGATGGAGAGGAAGATATTCCCGAAGCACGAATCACTCGCCAGATCATTCGACGAAGAGCTCAGGAAGAAAAATTCCGGGCTGCTCTACATAGAAATCAACGGCGAGGTTGTGGGCTACGTCATGTATTCTTGGCCTTCTTCACTGTCCGCTTCCATCACCAAGCTCGCAGGTTATTTTTGTTTACCCCTCATCTCCCTTTCTTCTCCCTGGAAGACTAAAGTCAATGCGTATGACCTGTTCGATGAAAGTCCCACAAGGGATAAGTGTGGTCGTCTTTGATCTTTGTCCACAGTGAAGGAAAATTGGAGGAGGCAAGGACATGGGGTGGCGCTTCTGGTAGCGGCGATTCAGAAATGCAGGACGAGAAGCGTGCAACGGGTGTCGCTTCACGTTGATCCCTTGAGGCTGGCTGCTGTGGGACTATACAAGAAAATGGGGTTTCAAGTGGATACCTTGGTGCAAGGTTATTACTCGTCGGACAGAAGCGCCTACAGAATGTACCTGGATTTCGATTCTGAGTAGCCCAAGGCAGCTCAAGTGAAGCGAAATGATCTCTTCTCTGCGGTAAGTTATTAATTTGACCTGGGACTGCTTAGTTGGATTCTTAATTGAATGAGTTGAAACACTAAGCACCGCTCTGTGGAAATTGGGGGTTGATAGAGAGGAGTTGATGAAATGGTGAATGAGGAACATGGTTTCTTGGATTGTTATCATATGCACTGGGATGCTTACCTGATGGAGTGATGGTCTGACAAGGCAATGAAGCCAGATTCTGTCACAATTTGTAGCATAATGCGAAATTTAGGGGTCGTTTGGAAGTTGTGATTCTTCAAATTGATGTATTAGGTCAATTAGTGTATTATCATTTGATGTATTGATTCAATGCATGTATTGGGAAAATACTTTGTTTGGAAGAGCAATGATGAAACAAAAAGTAGGGTAGACAATCCCTCATTAACAATCTCATCTTTTAGTAGAGATTTATAATCATTCATTTTGAGTGATTGTAGGTGGGCCCAACAAAAAGGTAATGCATGCATTCTAACTCAAAGTGAACCAAAAAAACGACTTAATCTTATCATTACATGTATTTGCTAAATACCTCACTTCAAATCTCAACCTCCAAACGACCCCTTAGTTCACCCCTTAGTTCACCCTTTTGAATATTGTGGATTTCGTGATTATTGAGAATCAAAAGTGATCTTCTCATTGATACGTTGAGAACTAATATACAGGATTGGGGAGACAAATAAGGAGCACTAGCTACAGGAGGATTATTTTCCTTCTTCTGCCCTTCTTGCTGATTAGGGCCCTGCTAAATGCCGCCCTACTTATCTGTAATCGCCTTAATTTAAATGTTGAAAATTATACTTTTACCCTTATCTCATTTTTTTTTAAAAAAAAAGATATTTAATTCTAAAAACATAACACAACTAGACCCACCCGTCACGGTTGCCGCCATTACTGCCGGCCACTATTTCCACTACCGGCGGCTGACCGTTGCCGATTCCCACCGACCGCCTCCAACAATGTCCTTATTATGATGATCATAATAGGGAGAATGGACATATGCACCTGGGACATACGAGGGAAGTTGATTATGAGGATGGGGAGAAGGGATAGACCGGGATCGGAGTTGATATCGGAGGTGGGGAGAAAGGTAAGATGCGACTGGGAGTTGATTTTCGGGGAAAGATGATTCAGACAAGACAACACATTGCAGGGAGTAGTTTATTCCAATAGAGGGGGATTTAGTTTTCATACAAAAGAACAATTTAGTTTTCATACAAAAGAACACAGTGGGGAAGAAGAAAGGAGGCAACGACAGTGGACTGTGGAGGGACTATGGTGGCCGGATTGGTGGGTGAGTGACCCGGCTGCCATGGAGTTTTTATCCCCGAAAATGAACAGTGAGGTTTTGTATTTAATTTATTTGTCTAATGAAGGACAATTTTGTAATTTTCTACTTTAAAATAGGGCGAAAATAGAAAATCTAGAACGATGTTTTGCCATTCAGTTTAGCAATCCCCTTCTTGAGTGCTCCCGGAGCACCACCTCAGCTGTGCTCCCTTCCAATAAATATGCGCCACTTGTATGGTACTAATTAAAAGGAAAAGGTTTATACCGGCAACTCAAGTTAATGATTAATTCCATAATTATTCTAGACTTTCCCTTTTTATTTGTTTTTTCGTCTCCCTGGGTTGGCACGGCACGATTGTTCCAAAGACAATAAGCCATGAAAATAATAATTACTTTTGGGAAGTATTGTTACCAGTATAATAGAAATGAGTTTGGGGCGTGGCAGTCTGGCGTTTAACTCCAGATGGTTGCTTTTCGTTGAAGTCGGCATATACATTGACATAGGTGGGGGAGAATCCCGGCGGCTCGCATCCTATGTGGAGGACGCTATGACGGCTCCCAGCAACACAGCGGATTAGAGCTTTCTTTTGGCTTGTAGCGCACCAGAGGCTGCTCACTAATTGTGAAAGGCGATGGAGACACTTAACCACTGTGGCCACTTGTCAAATTTGTGGAGGAGACGAGGAGACGACCATGCACGTCATACGCGATTGCCCCTATGCCCGTGCTGCCTGGGCGGAGTTCTTACAAGAGGAGCCTGATGAAACTTTTTTCCAAAATGACTTGAGCATATGGATCCTACACTATCTTGCTGGCCGCAGCTTGCATGTGGCACCAACCAGGTTTGCAGTGATGTGTTGGTCTCTTTGGAAGAACATGAATAAACTGGTGTTTGAAAAGGAGCTAGAGTTGATACACTCACTAACCTGCAGAGTGGTGACTATGGAGAAACAGATTGAGGAGGCGGAGATTAAGGCTGCCCGGGTCTTCGCGGGAAGCCAAGCCACTACCCGGCGGCTCATTGCTTGGACGCCACCCCCGACAGGTTGGGTATGTATTAATACATATGGATCGGTGGTTAGTGGGAACGTGGCAGCGGGAGGGGTTATTAGACGGGACGACGGCCGTATGCTGAGAGCTTCCTCGAGGAACTTGGGAGAAGGATCAATTACTAAGGCAGAGTTGGCAGACATAGTTTTTGGATTGCAAACAGCTTGGGAAATGGGATTCCGGCAGGTACAAGTCCAAACTGATTCCCTCTCAGCTATTCAACTTATTGGAAGCGCAGGGGAGCGGCATCCTCATTTGGCTTTGGTCTCGAAAGTGCGTCGGCTACAAGCTCTCGAGTGGCAGGTAGAAGTTGTTCATGTGTACCGGGAAGGGAACGTCGTCGCAGACTACCTCGCCTCTCTTGGACATGGACGTTCTCCTGGTGATCACTTCGTGGATGCTCCCTAGTCCGCTCTTGAACTACTGGCTGTACTTTGACTGTATTGGAGTTCTCACTCCTTGTTTAGTAAGCATTGATTGAAGGTTGGGGTGCCTTTAGCACCCCGTTCCCCACCAAAAAAAAAAAAAGAAATGAGTTTGGGGCTAATTTTCTGAAATAGACAAATGTGAATGAAGAAGTAGGGTTGGGAAAATAGATTAGACTGTTTCAAAAATCATGGATCAAAATGGATCGTATAGTTTGGATTGGACCATAGACCGTTAAAAATGTTTTGGTCTGGTCTATGGTCTGTATTATATGATGTATTGATCTCTTGGTCTGCTCTGGTCTAGTCCGTGGTTTAAATATTATTATGTAAAATATAATAGTGATTCCACATTGTTTTACGCAATGATTATTAACACTCTATTACGTCAAAGTGTTAAGTCATTATAGAAGTCGTATATAACACGTATGATTTAACTGTTATGTAAGAACTAATTGTCGTTTTATATATTTTACAATCTATCTGTATCTTACATAGTAGTTGTAAAATGACATTATATGAGTCTTACGTAACCGATGATATATTTACGTAACAAATAACACGTAAGTGTCAAATCATTACGGAAGTTTTACATAATACGTAAAATTAAATTATTATGTAACCAATAATTGTAGTTTTATAATTTTTACATGATATATTAGTAAAATGATATTACCTAATGATCATTGATTTTGTATTTTATTCATTACAATGCCTTAGCTATTTACCGTAGGAAATACCAAAAGTATCTTCAGCTATAAAAGCACATGGAGTTCCAAATTAAAATGAATAATTTAACATTTTTTTCCCAAGGATGAGAACTCTCTAACCAAAGATAACAACCCTTAATTACGCATTTAAACTTTAATTAAATATCAGTATCACCTATTATTTATTATCATACAGGCGACGCATATTTATTGGGAGGGAGCACGGTTGAGGTGGTGCTCCGGGAGCACTCAAGAATTCCTCAGTCACAGCAACAGACTGCTGCTACGCACATCCCACAGGTATAGGAACCGAAAAGTGTAGTGGGAAAAATAAAGAAAAGAATAAATAAATAAATGAAAATATCATTTATCTCTAATACGCCCTCACAAGACGGACGGTGGATCAACAACGCCGATCTTGGAACGTAGAAGATGGAAGCGAGCAGCAGGCAGGGGTTTGGTGAGGACGTCCACGAGCTGTTGAGCAGTAGGAATGTAGCGCACCACAAGACGATTGGCCTGAATAAGTTGACGGAGAAAATGATAGTCCAAGGCCATATGCTTCATACGTGAATGAAAGATAGAATTGGAGCATAAATATGTAGCGCCAAAGTTGTCCGAGTAGAGAGTGGGAGGGGTGCGAAGTGGATGATGCAGCTCAGCCAGAAGATTCTGGATCCACTCGATTTCCGCAGTGGGCCAGTGGCATGGGCAATTGCTCTGTATTCGGCCTCAATGCTGGATCGGGCAACGGTTCATTGTTTCTGAGACTTCCAAGAGATGAGAGTGGAGCCGAGATAGAGGAGATACACCGAAGTAGAAGACCAGTAATCCAAATTACCAGCCCTGTATGAATCGGCAAAGGTTGATATTACTAGCGGCTGCAGAGAACGATGAATGACAAGACCATGGTCAAGGGTACCAGCAACATACCGGAGCAGGCGTTTGACATATTGTCAATAGGAAGTAGTAGATGCGTGCATGAACTGGACAATTTGTTGACGGAGAAGTCGATATCAGGTCGAGTGTAGACCAAGTATTGAAGAGTGCCAAGGATTTGACAGAAATGAGTGGTGTCGGTAGGCGGAATGACATCAGAGAGCGAAAGCGAGGCAGTGGAAGGCTTTGGAGTCGGCAGAGGCGTGGCATCCAGCATGTCAAAGCGTTGAAGAACTTCCTTCATATATTTATATTGAGATAGTAAGTAGCCCGTCGGAGTTGGTATAACTTCAATGCGGAGAAAGTAGTTGACATCACCTAGGGTCTTCAAGGAGAACCGCCGTGAGAGAGCTTCACGAAATGTAGAGAGTAGGTGGGCATTATTTCCTGTGAGCAAAAGGTCGTCCACATAGACAAGGAAATACAACAGCACACCACCACGGTTATAGACAAAAAGTGATGAATCAGAAAGTGTTTTAGTGAACCCGAACTCGAGGAGGAATGTACTGAGCGCCATATACCAAGTGCGAGGAGCCTGGCAGAGACCATAGATAGCACGCTTGAGACGTCACACATGATGAGGACCCGTTGGATCCTTGAAGTCGGGTGGCTCAACCATGTAGACTTCATCTTGGAGAGGACCCTGGAGGAACGCATTGTTGACGTCGAAGTGAGCAATTGACCAATTGTTGGATAAAGCCAGTGTAAAAACTGTGCGGACAGTGCCCGGCTTGACCCTAGGACTGAAGGTATCGCCGAAGTAAACGCCGTTACGCTGATGGTAACCCTTGGCAAACAACCGCATTTTAAATCGAGTTATGGAACCATCGGCATCTCTTTTGACACGGAAGACCCATCGATTTCCCAAGACGTTATAATGAGGGAGACGGGGAACAAGATCCCAGGTCTCATTTGCGTGAAGAGCTTGATTTTCAGCAGTGAGCGCATCAGACCATTCCGGATACAGTAGCGCCTCCTTGACAGAGGCAGGCTCAAGTGGCGGAGAAGACCGAGCTGGGACCGGAGCAGCTGTAGTGTGAAACAATTTCTTTGGCCGAAAAAATCCATCCTGGGACCGAGTTCGCATAGTATGAACCCGAGCAAGAGGTGGAAGCTGGGCGAGCTGCAGAGGCCCAGGCGGAGGAGTGATGGGCTGGGCTGGTGGCCTAGTGTCCGAAAGGGGGCCAGATGATGTTGAGGAGGAAGCTTCGGATGAGTGTTAAAAACATGTCAGCATGGTTGTTAGAGTTAGTGGTTAGTAGAATAAGCTTCTCCATATTTGGTGGGGAAAGTTTAAGAGACGTAGGAGCAGAAGGTGGAGTTTGTTCCACTTAGTTAGGTTGAGCTGGACGTGGGAGCTATGATTCATTTGTTTCCAACCTTATGTATTTAAGGGGTGATTTGAATGGAATAGAAAGGCAAGTAGAAAATTAGTAGAAGAAACCCTGGTATTTTCTGGCCAAGAAAGGAGAAACCTGGTCTACTCCCACCAAGAAAAGGGAGATATCCAATCCAATACGTATCATTTGGTATCAGAGCCGTTGATCCGGGTTCCGATCATGATGCGCTCAGAGACATAATCAAAGGAGGAGGAACTCATCAATCGCGCAATCTGAATGCTAGATCGTGTCATCGCTACCTGTGACAAATACAAGCCATAAACACCACAACCACCAACGCAAGTCGAGACCCTAGCCGCCATTGAAGAGGAGGAGATCTCCGTCCTACCCGTACCACCCCAACAGGTAGCTGCTACCGCTGAGAGCACACCACCGCCGCAAGTTGAAGCTCTAGCGAGTCGGCAAAGGACGAGGAAGAAGATGCTGTCGGCGGAAAGCCTGCCCCGCTGTTGTCGTTGGTGTTGTTCCCTCTTGTCGCGTCGACGAGTGCCTCTGAACCACCACCGCTGCAAGTCAAAACCATAGCCGCCGCTGAAGAGGGAGAGAATCCTCTCCTACCCGCAGAACCCCAGTTTTTCCTCGCCATCATCACGAACAAACAACCAGTCCCAGCAGAAGAGACTGAGCCAAACCAGCTGGTGATCAAGGAGGCGGCCGCACTAGAGTTGTTACTAAACTCGACGCATTCTGATGCCGTGGTTGCTGTAACCATGTTGTCAGGGACGATCTCCCACACGGCGCCACTCACAATCGGTGATAATTTCAGGACTGATGGTTGCAAAGCTAATTTCAATAAGTGTAAATTTCGGCCAAAGAAAGATGGAGGTTGACGTCAATTGCGTCCGAGTAAGGTAACTCATCATATAGGGACGCGAGTTCTTAATATGTTTACTTCTTTGGGTCAGCGCCTTAGTTCAAAAGGAGTGCGAGTTTTATTGGCATTAGGGGAGTCCTTCCATTCTCAACATATTGAGGAGGGTAAATCAAGGAAGCGTACATGGTGGTATCGGCAGACAATAGGGATTAAGAGGTTACGACTAAAGGACGGGGTTGTGGCGAAACCAAAGATCAGTAAAGGGAAAGAGTTTGATCACATGATGTTGTACTATTTTATTATGATAAGAGGGTCGTGGTTAAGCTCGGGATGGAGTACGAGCAAGCACAGCTGGCCTCGACAATCCAACACCAGGTTGAAGTCGAGATTGCATTGCAGTTCGATGGAATTGGCTTCTCGGAGTCAGTGACCAGGCCGCTGTTTAAGGAATTGAACGTGGGTTTGTTCAAGAAGACTTTGAGGCCAGTGAAGCTAGGGAAGGTCATGTGGTTGAAGAAGTCGACTATGGACAACAACATGCCTGACTGGGAAGCAACGAGCCAATCAGGAGCTGGGGATGGTTCGTACAATGAAGCTACTAGTGGGGTTGAGATGTGCGAACTGATTTGGAATTTTGGGAGTGTTTGTTTTTCATTTAGGGTTGACGGGATGGAAGTGCCTCGTGGTCCATTGTTATTATTGGGAGGGATAATAAAAGGGCAGTAAATACGTGGGTTAGAGAAGTAATGCATGGAAGGATGGATTTGGAAGATGAATTTCATAGCTTTGAAGGATTTGATCGTGTTCCAGTAACCCATTCACTCGCCATAGAGATGAAGCTCTTGTACGTAGAAGCTGTCGATGTTGGATTTGTTCGAGTGTCTCAACGGATTTTGAAGATTCATAAACGCGAAGGAGACTACGTGGAACCGGACCTCGGTCTTCAACGATCACTATTTCCAAACTCAGCCTTAAGGACATGGCCGTTTTTCAGGGGGTGGTAATGATAAGGCCATAATAAGCCACGTAGTAGGATAATTGTTGTTGGGTTTGCACTAGGGATGGCAATTAAACCCATGGCCGCGGGTACCCGATCGCCCCCGACCCAGTCAACGCGGGG